CCTAAGATAGAGTCTAAGGGTTATTTCATGTAACCAATAAGCCAGTGCAATTGGAAGCTCAACTAGATGTTCAAGGCAAAGTCTCTATGGATCTTGACAAGTATTGATATTCAATATGGACACATGGGATGGATATCACAATAGGGTGAAGGATGAAAATCTAACCATACAAGTTGAAAACTTATTTCTTGATGGTGTATTAATTACTTTAAGTACTTAGTTCTAACTTCTAACTTCTAACTTCGAAGGCCTAACTTGACATATAAATATATTCACAAATATAGACTATGCATCGTTGCTTCATGTTGGGCCAATCATGGACAGAGCACCAATTCACTTGTCGATGACGGCTCGACAAATTTAGAACTTGAACATTGTACGGTTTTGAGCGCAACTTCAACACATTCGAGACGATAAATTCTTAACTAACACATTTGCGGTTTCACCAATTGCCCTCGTCTCCTACAACCCTAACATGTATTTTATTATTTTGAGTCATAAGTATTTAACGCTGTAGTCATGCATTATGCAACACATACATACAAACAAGAGAAATAGGCCAAAAGAGACTGAATGACCTTATTTTCACGTGAAGCACAATACAATCAACTACATCGTTGTGAAAGAATATGGATGATGCCAACAAGTGGTTAAGAAAGAATTTGGGGATGAACTAGCATTCGCAGGAGAGAGCTTGACATGGACCCAAGTTCATAAGGCAGCTAGAACCGCATTGAGCTTATACAAGCTACGAGATCTCAAAGGAGAAGCGAAAGAGGACCAGGAGAGTAAGAGAGGAGGAGGAGGAAGATGACTTAGATGTTACTAGAGAAGAAGATGTATATGACGAGAAAGGGGGATGACTTTGATCATGATGGCTTGGCATCATAATCATATTCAAGTGCATCTAATGCTAGTCGTGGGGATGGATGTGTTGTTACAATAAAACCAATCTCAATTTTGAGTTAATCAGATTTGTATAGAGTTTTGCAATTTTGTCCTTTGAGTAGTGACTTTTTGTGAGTCGTGAGACATGCCTTGCAATGAAATATTAACACTTTTTGGTTTTGATACTTTCTATTGCTGTATAATAAATGAATTTTAGGCAATTTCACTTAGTTAAAGTTTTAGTCATTCAAATTCAAGTTTCAAAGTCATCTATGCTTAAGTTTGAACTACACAATAAAAGAACACAGACAAAAAATTGTGAAGCCATGTTTTTTAATGAAAATATATGATCGCTACAATCAATCAGGGAACGTTTAGTAACCAACAAAACTTCCATAACATCACATTCAAAGGCCTAGAGGCCCCCTCATTTTTGCAGGTCGCCCAAGTATCTTGATCCGCCTGGACCGAATCTGCGTTCCTCAACATTGGGTAGGTCTAATCTTTAATGAATTGAATGATATTAAAACCAATACAAATCGGAAAAATAGGAACGGACCGGGAACCAGGTGGGCATTTTGGGCAGTCTAATCCCAACACAGAACAGATAGACATGAATCAACTGGTCCCACTATGGCTTGAAAAAAAAAACCAAACTAAAATTTCTATAGTTTTCAAACCAAATATCATCATTTTGGGGGACTTTTCTCATTCTTTCGAAATAGTTCAGGATATTTTTATATATAAGGGGGTTTGAAGGTTAAAAAATGTAACTTAGAGAGAGAGAGCTACTTTGGCAATTTTTCCTCAAAGTGCAATTTTAAAGAGAGCTACTTCGACAATTCTCTCTCTCTCTCTCTCTCTCTCTCCCCTTGCCCCCCACCCAAAAAAAAAAAAAAAGGGCCCTTCCCCACCACCAAAAAAACCCAAATCTTTGGTCAAAATAAAGCACTTTTCGGAGAGGATTCGAGCTATCAATCCACCCTAGTTCAAATCCAAGAAATCTTATTACTCCCTATTGTGATTGGTTTGTTTTATGTCTACAAAAAATATAAAACTTTTTATATTGAAAGATTTTTCTAAGAAATGATTTACAAAAAAAAAAAAAAGAATAATGCAATGGGTTGTTCCATGTATACAATTTAATGGTTGTTTTTTCTGTAGTAAGTTTATTTGTTCTAATTTTACTTATTTGGTAGCTTATATGCATCTTTTACTATATAGATATTAGGATTTTTTGGATTTTCATTTGCATTTGCTTTTCTTATTTAACTTTATGTTCTTTAACACTTCATTTGCTTGTCCTTTTTATTTGCTTTCCTTTTTTCTTTTACTTTTGGTTCTTCAACACTTAATAGAACTATAGAAGATTCGAGTCGTCAATCTACCCAAGTTCAAGACCCAAGTGAGCTTATTGCTCCCTTTTGTGAGTTGTTTGTTTTATATCTAGAAAAAATAAAAAACTTTCCAAACATTTAAGGTTTTCCCAAGAAAGGATATTTTTATTAAAAAAAAATGCAATGAGTTGTTTCGTGTATTCAATTTAATGGTTGTTTTCACTTTCATAAGTGTACTTGTTATTAGTTCTACTTATTTGGCAGCTAACATGTATCCTTTTGTATATAGAAATTAGGTTTTTTTTTCTGGATTTTTGTTTTTATTTGCTTTCTAATTTTACTTTTGGTTCTTGTACACTTCAATAGAACTACTGAGAATGTTGAGATACAGACAAATGGCGTGTTATTATTTTATTTTGGTTCCTAATAATTTTCTAAAATCATTCAATTTTTCCTAGTTTTCATTTTTTATATTTGTTTTTTATTTTTATTTTTATTTTATTTTTACCAGGCTAATTGATGAGCAGGTCTATTCCGGCTAGTCCGATCGAACTGGTGCCCACCCCATTTAAACCTTCAATCCAATCTTGACGACCTTGAAGGACATTGATGGCATCATCAATTGTAATGTTTTTACGCTTCAATATCTATGTCAGATGGTTGTTTGCTTCTAACCCTAACGCTAAACCATTCCAAGTGTCTCATGCTAATCATAGATCCTAGTTTCTTCATTCACATCCTATTTCCACAACTCTAACCATAGTTAAAACACAACCTAACCATCAACTACAACCCAAATCCAAATCTCCTAAACTTAATACTGCAAAGGACACTCACCCCCCATTGGTGGACATTCATCCCGCATACACCCTCAGGTCCACAAAAACCCATGGACCCTCCCAAACTTCTAATAATTGAATACTACACCCCCTCCCTCATATTTTAACTCTCCAAATAACTATTTTAGCTTATATTCTTTATTATATTCTCACCTTTTAACCATCATCATCTGAGCCTTATTCCAACCATTTGGGGTCGACTACATGAGTCGTGTTCTGCCATTCTACTCTATTAAGGGCACATCCTCTGTCAGACCATAGGTCACCATATCTCGTCTCACTATTTCCATTAATGTCCTTTTGGGCCCTTGCCCTTGCCCTTTTAACATGGTCCACTTGAACCAAATTATAGGTTGATGCTGCACATGGAATGGCATGCGAACCCTTGCCTACTACGCACCACAACTGGCCATCGTTGCGGTGTCGCTTCCAGGGAACATTCTAACTAACCCTTGCTCATTTCTCACTGCACCTGGGTGCTAATACAATATGTCATTTTTTGGGAACACCTTAGAAATAACAAATAACATTGGTTTAAGATTCATAAAAATAGATGTAATAAAAGTTTTACACTTGCTACCAACCTAACACAGCCATCCTCCTTTACCCTAGCTTGGGTGCAACATGACCGGCATGGGACTGACCATCTCGGAGTTGATACCCCTCTCCCTTTATCGACCTCTTCCCCATCTCTTCATCTCTACCTACCCAACCTGTCACCCCTTTCTCTCTCTAAAATGATTCAAAAAAGAGAGCGAGAGCTTGAAGAATGGGTAGAGAGAGTTAATGAGGAAGGGGGTGAAAGAGTATGTGTGGAGGATGGGAAAGAGAGAGGGGGGAAGATCACAAAAGGTTTGAGATGAGAGAGAGGGAGGGAAGGATGGGGGGAGAGAGCGATGGGTGGGGCTTAGGGTTTCACAACCAGAGAGAGATAGAGAGGGGCATCTAGTTGCGTGGCTATAGATGGAGAAGGGGTAGAGAGAGAGGAGTTTCAATCGGTTATGAATTTAGGGAAGTTTTAAGGGACATGGGTTAAAGGTGGGAATAGAATAAAGAATAGGGTTAAAAGGGCATTTGGATCGTGAAAAAAGTGAAGGAGGGGGTTTAGTGTCCTATTATTAAAAGTTTGGTGCGGTCATGAGTTTTCCGTGGACTGGAAGGTGTACATTGAATGGAAGTTCACCAAAGGCGGATAGCGCCCTTTTCCCAACTTAATATTTGCATGATCAATTCTACCCTACCATAACCATTTTGTCATATGAGCTTTGCCATGTCATAGATAAGTCTATTTCAAATCTCTCATCTAATATATAAGTCTGGCTGACGTCATTACTTGTGAAATGCTAATCTACAATTAATCGACAATTTATTCCAAGCTTCTTTCTAAATCGAATTTTAATAGATACAGAAGTTCAGTCATTGATCACTATTTCCAAAAACAAGAAACCAGTCAAATGGATGAGTCAACCAGTATAACATGTACTTTAAACAAAGGATAACTCGTGAGTAAATTAGGAAGATCATATTAAAACCAATAAAAGATCCTGATGAGCAAAGTAACTCATAGAGCAAACACTCCTTGGATTTCAAGGCATATTTTAAGGTATTTCTGATACATCAGATGTGTATCTATATGAGCATCATATATGTTCAAGACCTACAATAACCTACAATCGATCATAGACATTGGGTTACTCACTTGTCTGTCTAAAGTGTGTTTTTACATTCATCCATTTGAAACCAAAACAAAATGGCAAAGGACGAGTAAAACCATATCAACCCCAATTCCAAGTTGCACATATTACAAAAGTACATCTGTTGTTCCACATCAAATGAATTTCAACTATCAAATATATAATAAAAATTCAAAAATATTTTTTTGGATTTATAAAGTTAAGATTTTGTTTCTACTTTAAAATAGAGAATATGAACAAACCTGGAGAAATGAAATTGCAAGAGAGTGCAATTTGAATGGCTGTATTCTGTTTATCACCAGTCAGCATCCAAAAGTTAATCCCAGCTCTTCTGAGTATATCAATTGTTTCTGGAACACCATCCTGAAAATTAAAAAGAAAAAGGAAAAAAATAGCATGAGGATAACTTTAAATGTAAGCCTATGGAAACACACCCTTTATGTGTATTCAACATTCTAAAGGTGTCCTTTAATTTCATAGTATAAAAGCAATGGAATGACCACGAAGTTCACACTACAGTAGCAATTTCTTTTAGTCCACCTGTAGACGATCTTCGATAGCAGTGATACCGAGAATTTCAAGATCACGCTCCAACCGCTGACAAACCTCGGCTATTTTCCACTAAAAAGGAGTAAAATAAATTATATCAATCACAGCTCATAATAGTCCGGACATAAACAAAGTCAGAGGGAACAGCATAGGGATATGGCTCACCTCTCTATCTACTAATGTACCACTTGCTTCTTTAAACAACAGTGACCATTCATGATATTCATCTTGTGTCAATTCACGCCATGCCAAGCAGAGAGTCCGTAACCCTAGTTGTGAATACTGTTCTACAGCTTCAACAAATGTCCTTATTTGTTGTCCTAAAGAGGAGTTCAGTATAACTAATCTTAGAAAACATGCACATGAAAAACCATACAGAGATGAGTGGCATACAAAACTAAAATACAAGCTAATCTTATTTCTCAACCTTAACAAACAAGAGAGAGAGATGAGAATGATAAAATTAACCAGGCCACCATGTACTTTTTTAATCAACTAATGAGAGTGGAATACCCCGAAAACAAAAAAAAGAATAATGTACAGATGTACAATATATACGTGGCCCTCAAACCTAACATAGACTTAAAGGTGCTCATCCATGTATTGCACAACACAAGGATGCTGGAATAAAAATTAGAGGCACAAAATACAAGCTCATGTGCTTTCTATTGTTTTGGACAATTAATCAGCAGTGTTTTAAAATGCGGTCGCATCGCTGCATATCCGGCCGCATCATGCGCTATGCACTAAGCACCGCATCAGAAATGACCGTATATAAGGTTTGGAGAGATGGGCCCTCATATGCTCCGCATCAGAGCCACATAGCGCATAGGGCGCATCAGGCTGCATAGTGTTCCGCAATTTTTTTTTCAAAACAATGCCCATCAGGGATGGGCAAAAAGGTCATTTTGACCTTTAAAATTTAGGGGAAAAGGTAAACAAAATTTTTGAGCCACATTCATGCTTTTTTGTGATCCAATTGATCAAAAGAAAAATTTACATGGAAATTTTTTTCGTTGGAGTTCTTCGATTTGTGCATTTTTTGATACTTGGTTATTGATATGTACCTTTTGGGTCTTGATTTGAGCAAGTTTAGGTGAACTTGGGACGACAAATCGACGGTTTCAAAGGCCTTGAAGAAATCGATACTTGCTTCAAGAACGGGTAACTTTTTTTTCCTTCTACAATAATTTTTTTTTGGGGCAATGTCTTCTTCCCAATCTTCTAGTAATAAGGATCCGGCTTAGAAATATGCCAAACTTAAAAATCCGAAAGATCGAAATTGTGTGATTTGCATGCTCTGTGGAAATACTTATATGGGTGGTATTTTTTGGCGAAAAGAACAATTAGCTGGTATTTATAGGAATGTAAGAGCATGCCCACAAGCTACCGTGGCGATAAAAAGGGAGATTAGAGAATACATGGATAGCTTGAAAAAAGAAAAAGAGAAGAAAAAACTAAAAGAAAATAATTAATTGATGATGTGCAATTATTTGATGATGATGATATATCATAAATTGCAATGAGGCAAGGAGTACTCCAATCTCAAGAGAGAGGGTTATAAATAATGGTGAGAGTATTGAAAACTAAACACCTCTCTCTAAGGGGCCAATAGATGTTTTTTTTCACCCCTAGCCCCGAAATTGTGGTTCAAAAGAAGAGGAAAAAAACAAAACAAACCACAATTGAAAATCGATATAAGAAAGAACAGAGGAAGTCGGTATGCAAGTTTATTACAAAGTGGCTTTATAGGGCCAGCATTCCTTTTAATATTATAACCCTCGATAGTTTTGCATGTATGGTCCAGGAAATTGGGTAATATGGCCCGGACTTGTTCCTCCTTCACTACATAAGGTTAGGGAGCCCTTATTGAAGGATGTTGTATTTGATGTTAACAAAATTTTGATTTCTCAAAGAGAAGGGTGGGAGAAATATGGGGCCACTATTATGTGTGATGGTTGATCCGATAGAAAGTAAAGGGCATTCATTAATTTTTTGGTTAACTGTCTTTTTTGTTAAGTATGTTGATGCATCAGACAAGTCTACATACTTATGTGGCTTCATGGATGGGATTGTAGAGTTTGCTAGAGAGAAAAATGTGGTACAAATTGTCATTGACAATGGTGCCAATTATGCTACAGCTGGTCATTTTTTTACTTTGAAAATGACGCATATGTTTTGGACTCCTTGCACAGATCAATGTGTTAATCTTATACTTAAGGAAATGGGTACAACATATTTATTTAGTGGGGTGATTTTCAGAGCTATTTTGTTTGTTAGATTTATTTACAATCACACCATGGTCCTAAGGATGATGAGGACTTTTACAAAGAACAAAGAATTAATGACACCAGGTATCACTAGATTTGCCACGTCATTTATCACTCTTTGAAGCCTAGCCAAGCAAAAAATTGCCTTGAGAATCATGTTTGCTTCAGAGCAATGGAGTCAGAGTAAATGGTCAAAGAATCGAGATGGGATAAAGGTTGAACAAATTATTCTGAGTACATCTTTTTGGAGTCAAATAATTCTTGCATTGGAGGTGGCTCACCTTTTAGTGAGAGTGCTTCGACTAGTTGATGGTGATATGAAACCCGCCATGGGCTACATACATGAGGCAATGACTATGGCAAGATCAGAGATAAAAAATGTTTTAAAGGGTGACGAAAATAAATGCAAGGCCATACTTGAAATTATTGATAGGAGATGGGATACTCAGCTTCACAGGCACCTCCATTCAGCCGATTACTTTCTAAATCCATCTCTTCACTACAAGCACCCATCCATTGAGTCAGATCGTGTAATAAATGGTGGGTTCTTAGATGTGCTTGAGAGGTTGGTTCCTGACAAAGATATCCGAGATGAGATCCAGAGCCATGAATTGATTAAGTTCAAGTTAAGCTTGGAAAACTTTGGGAGAGAGATTGCTATTCGAAATAGGGACATTACAGATCTAGGTAAAGGCTAAAAGTACCCTTACTTGTCTATGACTTTATGTATAGTTCCATTGTTTACCCTTAATTTTTATTTATAATCTAAATTATAAAATATTATACAACTGCATGGTGGGCATTATATGGAGGCGAGACACCAAATCTACAATGTCTTGCTATTCGAGTGTTAAATTATATGCAGCTTGTCTAGTTGTGAACACAATTGGAGAGCATTTGAGCATGTAAGTCCTTACTCCTTAATACTTATTTCTTTGATTTCAATTTTACTTTTCAATTTTCTAAAATCTAATTTATCTAATTTCAATTTTATACCACAGCTCTATACCAGAAAAAGAAAAACGTTGGAGCAGAAGAAGTTGAATGATTTGGTTTATGTGCGATATAATGAACAGCTTAGGAAGAGGTATCAAAAGCGCATGCAGCTCAGCCCTATTCAATTGTATTAAGCTGAAGGTGATTACACAAGTGAGTGAACCACGGATCCAAGACTAGAGCGTGTGTTTGAGGCTGAGGATCTTACATGGCTTGATGTCGAGCTAGCAGCAGGGGCTAATGAAGAAGATCGGCCTAACACTAGAGCACAAAGGAGTAGAGCTGGGCCTAGTCACACTCGTACAATAGCTCCAGAGGTCGAGGAGGAGGGAGCTGACTCAGAGGAGATCGAGGAAGAAGAATATGCGGAGGCCACCGAGGACGATATTGATGATGATACACATGAAGACTCTCAAGATGACTTCTCTGATTAATATTTGAAAAATTGACTTCAAAATCGACTCTCAAGATGACTTCTATGATGAATGATTGATTGTATTAACTCTTCTTGAGCTTGACTTCAAAACTCTTTAATCTTCATAAAGACATGGACTTTTAGTTTGTACTATCACTATTTTGTAACTTTAAAGTTTGTGGTTGCAAATTTGTACTTATGGTTGTTGCTTGTTGAATATTTTATAAAGCTAGTTTCAAGTTTCAAGTTTGTTATTTCTATCAAGGGATAGTACATACAAAATCTCTGACTGCTAATACTTTAGGAGTTAATGAATAAACTAAAATACCTACTATCACATATATCACCTCCATATTTTTTTCTATGCATTAACCTATTTTTTTAGATTTTTTAGAATTTTTTAATATTTATTGATCGCATCACCGTGATGCACCCGCATCCGGACCACATCAACCTGCATCGGCCCCCACACCGCCGCATCCTGCTTTTTAAAACACAGTTACTAAGGGGTCACATGAGCCATCTCAAGATCTTCCACTGGACAGGTTTAGAGAAACCATTGCATGAGTTCAAATTGAGGGGAACATTCACAATAATTCATCATGTCGCTTTTCTTCACATCTTCATAATGTGGAAACAATAGTTTGCCAAAACTGATTTAAAAAATCAATCTTGTGCGACCATGTAATCGTCCATCAAATGTGTCTACTACTATTTTACTTTACATAAAAGGATGGGGCAGTCTTATGAATGAGAGCTCTTGAAGTGTTACAGACACTACATCTAAATTATTGCCCATATGGTGATAACACAATTTTACCCTCCATTGTGTAAATTGGAATAGAACACACTTTCTCATATTGGGGATGAAACCCATAAAACATAACTAGATAAGATTAAAAGTCATAGGAATGTTTATCTCAAAAAAAAGACAGTCAGAGGAATGTTTGAAATTCAAATTTCACAACAAAAGGGACATCAATAGAGAGATTTCAAAATATATCCAAAGAGCTGAGGTTTTACATCAAAGAATAAATGAGAGATTGAATGGATTCCAATTCGAATTGGCAGGAAAGCTGAATTTAGATACAGATCAAGCAGTAATCCAGTGCAATGGTGGTTAATCTGAAACAGTAACAGCGATGAAATACAGTACTAGCCCATTAGGGGTCAATGGTTCTAAATCAGTTCAAGTGTCACCATGTCTAGTTTGAGTAGAATTTAACCTATGAGTTCAATAAGAATTGAAGAGGCATTTCTTGACAGCATAAGGTGGTATGCACAGGCAGTACTGACTCTAGGAGAATGTAGTCTAGGTTTTAGATGCACTAGGCACTTGCTCAGTGAGGTAATAAGTGGACAACAAGATCATGGAAGCTAGTGTTTTGTCAATAGCTAACATAGTTGAAAAATGGAAGGCCAAGACTGTGGAATTTAATGAGGCAGTATACATGGTTAATTATTGAATTTCAAATCATACATAGTAAGCACAAACATATATCCAATGTTTCAAAACGCGCTAGGCGGCACCTAGGCGGTTGAGGGGTCCAAGCCGCCCAATGCCTAGGCAGGCACCCAGAACCTCGGCAGCCCAGTAGAATTTTTGTTTTTTTTAGGTTTTTCTCTTTCTAAAATAAGCTCTAATGGGTTCTAGGTTTCAAATGAATCTAAAACCCACAATTTTGCACTTTTAGTATTAAAAAAATGACCCAAAAATACCCTCAACGAGGGGCATTTCAGCCCCTGGGCAGGGCGCAGGCCTTGGGTGGCTGCCTAGGCACCCAGGGATATCCGCTTTTTTTGGGCCCTAGGCCTAGGTGATGCGCCCAGGCCCCCAGAACCGCCTAGGCGGCCACCCAGACACTGGGCGGTCCGCTTTTTGAAACACTACATATATTACATATAATACATGTTCAAATGTACACTCTCTCATAGATGTGTTGATTTCATTGTACTACTGATGTAATACCATATTCTTTTGACAATTTAATATTACAAATACAAAAGCTTCATAAGGCACTCTGATGTTCCTGAACTCAAGCTTTAGTTGGAAGCTAAATTAAACCAATGTTAAGGTAGTTCCAACAAACCATCACAGGTCAATGAGCCCAATTAGAAATAAGCAAAAATAAACACAATACAACAGTAATGAACAGGAATACATGCAGAGGAAATTTTACCAAAGGAAATACGTGCATCTTTTGCAAGAATATCTTATTAAGTTATAAATCTTTCAGTAACTCTCAAGATTATCAAGATTAAACAATAAAATTACCGGAACATGCACAAGGAAGAATTGCTTCATCAGCCCCCTTCAAAAGGAGAATGATCTTTCCAGATTGGCAGTCCTTAACGACCACTGACATCCGCTTCCGATCAGAGGTGAACTCAAGAGTGTCCAAGATCTCATATTGCAATGTCAAAGCATTAAACTTCACTTCTGAAAAATATGCAGCCAACAAAATTTTATGAGTTGACTGCGACAAATTCCCAAATGTAATCACAATGTAGTGCCTCAAACCCCAAAGTTATATAAGAAGAAGAATTATTACGAAGCATATTCCCAGTTTTGTCAACAAGAACCATATGCAAGCGACCAGCAGCAAGAACAAGAGCTTCCTCATCCTGGGATTGTGCTTTATAACAGACTTCTCCATTCTTACTGCAAATTATTAGAGGGTATATAACATCTATTCAGTAAATGTTTCAGAACCTCATGCACATATGAAGAGCAGATGCAAGTGGACCAGATTGGATCACCTCTTAAGTGGTACAACTGTATTGCAAACTGCCATAATTGTAAGAAATTTGATAACCTCTGGACAATTGCAGCCAACAGCACGGAGTAATTCTACATCTGAAAATTAATTCAGGCAAGCTGCAGTAAATGTCCTGAATTTGTTCCATTACTAAGAAACAAAAGACAAGTTCAAAAAGCATTGCACCAACCACATGGAATATATTCATTTATTGATGCACTAGTACAAAAGATATCATCCAGAAGTAGACATGAGCATCTACCAAATACAAACTTTACAGGTGAGACTTGAAAGTCCATTTAGGATAGATAACGTAGGGAAATTTGAGTCTCCTTCATTGCATCATCATCATCATCGAGCCCTATCCCAAATATTTGGGGCCAGCTATCAAGATTCATGATAGGCAAAAGTTCTCTGCTAGCTGCTAACCTAATACAAACCTCCTCCTTTCTCATCCAAGATTTGAGTCTCTCCCCCATTGCATGGCCTAGCAGATTTTTTTCTACCTACATGCTTCGCATGAGAGAAACAAGAATGTGATCCATTCGTCAAGAAAATAAGATGCTTCAGGAACTTTTAGGCTGTGGATAACTGCAAATCATATATTTACAATGTTATACTCAAAATGTGCCGAATGCAAGGACAAGAGGAATCTCATTATTTTCGTGTCCATACCTTGGTCACCATGATGCCACATGCCTCTACATATGTTAATCAATATGATGGCACATGGTCACCACGGTGATGGGTGGTCACCATGACGACAAGTCTATACATAAGTCATTTATGGTGGTCGTACATAAGTCATTTATGGTGGTCACCATGATGACGTGCAGTCATGATGACATGTCTATACTCCATACAGAAGTCATTTATGGATATTCAAAGCTCTTATGGTGATGTAGGAAACTTAGGAGCTAATAGCTTTGAGAGGGTAGGTTATATTGTTGGTATAGATACCGATCTCTTAGGGTACAACTCTTCTACAATTTTACAATGAGACCAGTATACACCACAATTGCATATACTTTTCTTCAAAAGTTAATAAACTCTCACTGATACGATTATTCTTGCAACTCAATTATAGCAAGGAAATAGGATCAAAAACATACCCAACTTCATTTTCCATTTATTTGGACACAATGAGATTGCATACATACGAGACAATTTACATTGATGTAAAATTCACCTTCATACAATTTCTCATAAAATTTCATCAGCACTTTCTAATACAATGACAACTCTAATGCGATATCCTTTAATATGAATACCTTAACAATGTGAACATGGAAGACATAAGTCATGGGAAGCCAGAACCTAAGTAATTTGCCGAGGATTACCTCAATATACACCCCATACCAGATTTCTACTCCAAAGCACGACAGATCCCAGCCCTATCAAACTCAAATTATGGGAAGCACAAAAGAAGCTTCAAAGACACACTATGGGATCATTTTGGAGACTGATTCATAGCAGCAAGAGAGTGGAGAAGAAAGGGTCGTGCATGGTTCAAATTGGGCTTCATTTTGATTTAAAACAATGTAGTATAGACCTATAAAAGCATAGTGAGGGCTTGTAAATTATGAACCACAAAGCACCATGGGAGAAAAAATAAATTGCTGTAAATGCTGTTGTGGCAAGTTACAGCAACATAAAGATGGCATGGAGCTCCAACATGAAAACTTTGCATGGAGCTCCAACATGAAAACTATGGACCATGCTGTAGGCATGGGACAAGGGGCTCGTGAAGCATGGTCATCGTGTGGGCTAATGGAGCTGACTCTCTCACTAGGGTATGCCACTCTCTCACCTCTCTCTCTTCTCAATAGGGCGTGCCACTCTCCTTTCACTCTCTAGTTTCTCACACACCATGGTAACATTACTCTCAAATTGGACGGTTTGAAGTGTGAGAGGTTACCCCTATTTATAGGCTTTGGATAAGAGTATGTAGAAGCTTCGCATGAACATCATTTAGGGCTCTGGATCTACGAAATATATGGGGTGAGAGAGTCTTGATCCTAACCATACAATCCCTTACTAGCTATTATAGATCAAGGGTTGGAAATTAACACCATTATCCCGTGGCCAAAAATCAAACCCAGATTTCCTTCCATTTTGAACTTATTTTTTCCACCTATAAACACAGTCCTAATCAAGGATAAATACATTTAATCAAATTTGAATTTTGGCACAAGACCCAAATACCTATGATAAAAAATTTCAATTCGAGAGAGAGATCATGTAGAGAGGGATGTGCCCCTAAGTTTGAAATAGTTTTCTCTTTCTAAGGTGGAAATTTGAAATAAGATCTCTCTCTCTCT